CATCTGCATTCTCTATAGCTAGTAATGTCAAATCTATCATGTACTATGTTTAGGTTTTATAAATACATGCCTATGCAAGCAAAACATTAGTATGAATAAGAATATGGTGGACTCATATGTTTAACAAATCTGCTGGGAGTTTTCCCTAAGCTAAAGGCTACTGTAGCTTTAATATAATATATACTACTCTTTAGTGTCTGTCATAACTAAAGAAGCAAACATGAGTATCTTTGTAAAGTAAGAGTAGTAAAATTTAGAATTGGAATGAGATTTCAATGCCATCTGGCTCTTTCTTTAATAAACACTCATATTTCTGCCATTTTTATTGCAGCTAAAAATACTTACAGGCGAAACAAAATTATACCTGATAACCTAAGAATTTCTGACAAGCAAGGAATTCTTGGAAACAAATCTCTGGCAGGTTTTGTAACTTTAACCCATCAAGAAAACTAACTCAAATAGAACAAGCTAATCAAATCATGTTCAGCAACTACGATTCACATATATACATTTTACTCTGCTTAGAAGATTTGGGATTCAAAGAGTATCTTTTAGGGTAAGAAGTGAAATTTTTTAAAGTGAAAGGTCTAGAATTCAAGCACTAAAGGACAGTTATGACTACAGAAATGATTATCTTCAATATATGGATTGCCTTTCTAGAATTTGTAAGGTGCAAATTCTTGTAATTTCTATGGTGGTATGTATCTGTTATCAAGCTTTCTCCTCAACAAAGAGAGAAACTTGTCTTTATTTAGAAGATGCATAGATTCTTAGGAATCTATCAAATTCCATTGTATATGCAAGATTAAATCTTCAGGAGATTTTTAGCATGCATTACATGGAGATGATAGACATATTTTCCTTGTTATCCAAGTGAAAATGGTAATAAATGTTTTAGTCTTTTTCAATACAAACAGAAATTAGTATGATATCTGAAACCATGTACAGCCAGGCTAAATCTATATAAATATGATTAAATAAATAATTAAATAATTAAATGTCCTAATTAGAAAGCTGGGAAGAATAAATACAGAAGCTATTTATATCCTTACTCTCAAACTCACAGTGAAACTAATAGTATTTGAGGGATGGGGGCAGTTTATATTGGACAACAGGTTAAATATTGTTTCCCAGAATGATTCTTTTTCAGGAATACTGTCTTTGGTTGCTAATTAATTAGCAAAGAGATATATAGGAGATAAATTTTAGTCATATCTAATTTGGTCCTGAGTTAATCCAATATATTTATCCATGTGAGCACTTGTAGAATTTTAAACTCATGGACAGAGGAGAAAAGGGTAATGCACAAAACAGGAGAAGATTTCAACCATTCATTTAGAAACTCCCGTGTGCACAGAACCAGTGTGGGTAAATACAAAAGAGTATGCCTGGGCTACCAGACACAAGTCGAGGCCCTCACAGCCCAGAAAATCCACAAATGTAGTGCCATACACATTAATTCCCCCCACCACCACCACTTGCCCACCACCACCACCTTTCTCCTGAAGGCTTTCTGTAGAACCAAGACTGTCAAGTGAGAAAGCAGCTTAGTAGTGTGTCTACATTCTTTTTAAAGCTAACAGAACGAGAAAGAAAAGGTGCCAGTGTGTGGCAATATGGGGGGGGGGGGGGCAGGGGGGGACATGGGAAAGGATTACCTTTTGGGGGGAGAGA